GAGTCCCCCGATGAGTATAAGGGCACTTCACCTCCACCAGACCGGATCCACAACAATCACATTGGACAATGCCATCCGGTGAGGCAGCGATGAATGGCAGCTCCTTGCTGATGACTAAACCAGAATCAGACACCTCGAAATTCATGTGATTGGCAGATATCATAGCAGTGTACCGCTCCCGTGCAGGGCCTTCGTGTTCTTGTCCCCAGCGTGTAGAGGGAGCACCCTTTGGCAGAGGATCGGGGTAGCATATAGCCTGGATGAGGCTCCTGGATGGAGACTGCGCAGATGTGTGACATATATCATACATTCGGGAAGCCGTCACACGGCCGGCTCTTTGTTCAAACCACACTCTGCTGCCAGATTGCATCCTTGTAGCTGTCTCAACAGCTGCCACTTCCCTCTCGCTTATGTCCACATTACTCTGTGCACACACATCAAGAAGCTGCTCATGGCTCATAGCGAGGCATTCCTCTTGATAAAGGCTATTCAGTGGCTTCGGGAGGGTGGGTGAAGTTGATGCTGGTACATAACCTGATAGGAAAGGCTTGATGACGGACAGGACGGCGGGCTTCGTTTTCAGGGACGCAAGGGTCTTATAGAAGCACTTCTTCTCGGCGTCTGAGGGTAGCTTCACACAGAGGCGCTTTGGGCTTGGGGGAGGTGACACATCTCGATCAAGTGCTTCCTGCCTCTGCTGAGGCGACGAGAAATCAATGTCTGCTACCCTGGCATACTCCATTTCCTTCTGAAAGGTTGGGACCTTCCACTGGCATGGCACTCCAGTTACGGTCGCGGCGGGTTCCTTATGCCGATGAACAGCCTCCAGGAAAAACAGAGTAGCAGCAACATGTGTGCACGTTTCTCCCAAGCCTGCCATACAGTTGCAGTGCGCACAGCAGACAACACCATCGGGGTCTGTGATAAGCCAACAGTGTAGTGGTGTTTCGCTGAACCTTTGTGAGTGACGGACCTGTGAGAGACATGGAGCACATGGAACACATGGAATGCACGTTCATCACTCACCAACAATTTGGAATAATTTGTACATATGCATACTGAGAAATATAGCCCTGGACATGTCCGCAAGAAGGGTATAGTAAGTACTACGTCAAGTCACAATCTCATGGCACAGTAAGTGGCGCATCTAGTACATGTGCTGAAATTTGTTTATCAATTATTCCCCTATAAGTTCAAAATTTGAACCACTTTCATACACACATACTAATCAGGAGTAAATAGCCAACTCAGCAGATTCAGTTTTGTCAGTTCTGCCATACTAGTGTTACCGATGAAGAGTGATTATTTATTGTGATGAACAAAACTCTTACCCGTGCTACAGTGACATGTTTCCCGCAGCACTCGAACGACTTCACTTCCTTCACCCAACCTGATACGAACTGGTTATATGCGTCAAGGCCCTTCTTTGCTTTAAACTGCTTTTTGGAGCAGAAACTCGTTTCATGGACCAAGTAGGACATAAGGTCAGACATTTCCACACACGGCTCAACAGGTTTCGCACCACGAGGAACGCCCAGCATTGGGTCGAATCCAGAAAGCAAAGACAATTTCTCTTCATATCGTTTCTTCCCAATGGAATCCAATTTCTCGGCATACACAGATAACTTGGGGGTAACTACTGGCTGCAGTGGGTCAGATGAGACTACAGGCTCCGTGTCCATCATAACAATCAATACAGACCAGTGGTAGAGCACGATGAAAGTGAAAATATGGACGTCAAAGTGGCATTCTCAATTGCCAAACATTCAATCTCCTTCACCATGTTCACGACATGTCCCATTTTGAAGAAACACCGTGCACGTGACAATGGTGAGTCATGGGTATGACGCGTGGCGTACAAAACGCAGCCTTTTTGGCCGCATATGCAAAGGGTCTATACCGTGGAAGCCACACAAGAGCAGTATATACGCAGAGTGTAGCGCCAAAAAAGATGCGAATTATGTCACCTAGTATGACCATGACAGAGAGAGAGAAAAGGCGCAAATAGCACATCACGGAGGAGAAGGAGCAGAAGGTAGCGCGCATTGTGCTCTGTGAATGGCGTTGCGCAGAGTGTAGCGCCAAAAAATAAAATGATGCGAGTTATGTCACCTCTATACAGAGGGGGGGGGGGGGGGGGAGAGAAGGTGCAACTGTGCACATCACGGAGAAGAAGAGCGCGCCGTTGTGCTCTACGAAGTGAGGGTACATGCCAAATAATTATGGTGTTAATTCTAGCACAGGATCTAGGAGGGGAGCACGGAGCCCCATGAGTCAATGCACTAATCTATTATAGCAATAAAAACTGCTTTATGGCAGTTTTCTAAAAAAAGTTATTGTGTTCTAGTCCATGGACCCCGTCTAAAAAGTAAAAAATTAACGAAATGTGATAGCCGAAAATTACAATTTCACACAAAACCTCACAATAATCACGACACTTTCAACACTTGTTTATTCCGACACTTGTACTTGTACAAGTACATGCATATGAAAGAGGACCACGAGGGGAAAAGGTCGTCTCGCATTCTGTGTGTGATTATTGTGAGGTTTTGTGTGAAATTGTAATTTTCGGCTATCACATTTCGTTAATTTTTTACTTTTTAGACGGGGTCCATGGACTAGAACACAATAACTTTTTTTAGAAAACTGCCATAAAGCAGTTTTTATTGCTATAATTTCTTTTGTTTTTTTGGCTAAAGGATATAATTGTGTCACCAATGGAATGCCCAAATAAATGATGGCCTACATGTAGTGCCTCTACATGTTATTATTATTTTATTTTACTAGGGTGTTTCCCACAGACCTCTGGTCTTCTTACGGGAGCCCCTATGTACGTGTATCATATCAAATTCAATACCGTAGTATACGCAATTACGCATTGATGTGCAAGCCTTTTCTTGCAGAAAATGGAACTAGTCTTGCATACATGTATTCATGTTCTTCCGCAGGGGAATCATATGGGTCGTGGCGGTGATACTTTTTTATACGCAGGTCATTCTGTGGATGTTGCAGAATTTCATGACTCTGTCATAAATTGTCTTGTCTTTCAGAAAATTCAGGTGTCCACACCCTAAATCAGATTTACTTGAGAATTGTAACAAGGTGCGTGCCGCAGATGTTTTTGTTGATTCTGTGTTTATAATTGTAGTCATGGGTTGTCGTGATAAGGTCATCCAGCATCATATTGTAGTGAAATCGTAATCCTGTTGATGTCGATAAAACTTTTGGAAGCGGTTCAATGACTTCAAAGTGTTACAAGTCCACGATTGTCTAAAACAACACAGCAAAGTGGGAACAATAAACATGTATTAAAATGTAAACATATACATTGCTGAGTTCGACACCTCGTTCCAACAACTACACTGATCCTGAGGATATACAATGTAAGGGGCAAGGATATATGGTTGGAGGTACTGAGAGATAAACAAGGCACTCCATAATAATAATATGTTACACGACTTTGGGGGAGTATGAATGATATCCAGTCAAACCTCTTTAGGACGAACATCAAGGGACCGATGGCATTTGCTCTGTGAGTTTGTCTTAACCCTATTTTATAACGAGTGAATACAATTATTTCTCCAATAGAGACACGAATAGATTTCTTCTACAGCGAAAGATTCGAAGCCAGACCAAACCATTGACTAGTCTTTTATGAAAGAAATGAGTCACTGAACCTTTCTTTAGCAACATCATGACGGCAACTGAAACAACAACAGAGAAAATACGATACATGTACAGCACATTCTTGCAGGTACTACAAACAGATTGCAGATCGTAATTCTTGCTCTACCGGCACGCAACTTTATTTGGGGCAGTGCAATCTCGGCGCTACTCACAAATCAAACAGCCCAGACTCGAGTAAACAAATCCGATCGTACGAGATTTTCACGAGACTGCACCCATTGGCTTGTTTCGTATGAAGCAAACAAGTCACTGAATGCATGAACCTCTCCATAATGGAGATTTTCCCTGATATGCGAATTTAATTTGCATACTAATACTCGGCCAATGCGTCCTTGAACCTTTCCCTCCAGATTGGGAACTGCCAACGATGCTATGCCACTGATTCAGATTCTACCCTATGATCGGAGCACGGAATGCCGGAAGTAATCATGACCAGTGCCTTACTTGTAACGTACTACCAATGTACAATGAACATGAGTATTTCGACAACACATCTAAGCCTCAGCAGCAACATAAGCCTTACCGTCAAGAAGGTGAACTCGCGTTCTTCGCACACTGTTGGCAAGGGCAAAGAGATACGAATGGATCTAAATCCGAATAACAACAGCACACGTTTCCGTAAATGAAAGGGTGAGCATAAGCAAATGAATCGAAGGAAGCTGGTCAATTCAGAGATCACCTGTCATTGAGTATCCCGTAAAAGGAGGCCTCGACAGCAGAAAAGTTAATAGTATAGAAACGAGATCCTGTCAGCTTTTCCATTATTAATTTTATTGTATTCCACCTAAAATCAGCCCACTTTTCGTAAATGAAAGAGTCAACACAAGCAAATGAATCAAAGGGAACTGGTCAACTCACCTGTCATTGAGTAATATTCCGTGAAAAGAGGTCTCAGCAGAGCCGAAGCGAAATAAGCCAGGACACGAAATATCCGAAACAGCTCATGCAAGAAGCAGTTCCAAAGAAGGAAGTTCCTCGCGCATGCACATCCGAAAACGGACTGCACTGCATGCAACACAATGTCTGCCGTGCACGTGCACAGCATGCGGCTACCACGCGTTGGTAGATCTAATACCGAGCACCTTACGTAGAAACTTACGTAGCCTAAGTGAAGTACCGAGCACCTTACGTAGAAACTTACGTAGCATAGCGGTGTCGTTTTTTCTGCCATGTGAACACAATAATAGAAAAGCTGACAGGATCGCTTTTCTAAATGAGGTTAAAACTTCCATGCCAAACTGTTACCACCAGGGACGCGACGAGGCATCAGGAATAGAATGGTTAACCCTCACACCACAGAAGAGATGAGCCAGTGGGGTGTCGCAAGCTTATATTGAACGTGAGCACGACATGATTATTGTGATCATGATGACGTATAACATAGTTCGCGTGAAATGATCGGACTGGGCCGTCTAAGGCCGCCCATCTGTAACATAGTATGATAGGAACAAATAACGCCATCTATCGGCTATGAAAGAGCGTTTGAAAGACGACCCATGGGGTCATGTAACAATCATAAAGGCTGGGTGTACCAGTACATTGCTATGGCAACTGCATGACCACTAAGTACTCGGTAGTACCCACAAGTATATTAATTGTATTGTCTGCGGCAGCCGATGGATGTGCACCATGCGGATTTCGTGCCCATCGGCCGAGCCCGTGCCTCCCCTCCGTCCGGTAGGCGTGGGCGGGTGGGAAACAAAATTGCGTGGCGAGCACTCGCAGCAAAACAGACAACTGGCAAAATTACACCAGCCAGCAGTAGATGAGCCGTCTACGGATGCATCCGCCAGGCGAAGGGTGGCTCATACGGGATGTCGTACGCGAGTGCGACCCGAATGCGGAACTCTGCAAGAGTGCGTGCTTGCGCCAGTCGACTGCGGCGGCACGGCCGAGTGCGTATGGTCACCTAAAGTCATCTTGCGGGAATATTCCCCTGCGGGGGCGCGGCCCGTGGCGTGCTGGTTAACTACGGTTTGCGCAACGCAAACCAACATTTAACCCTCACACCACAGAAGAGATGAGCCAGTGGGGTGTCGCAAGCTTATATTGAACGTGAGCACGACATGATTATTGTGATCATGATGACGTATAACATAGTTCGCGTGAAATGATCGGACTGGGCCGTCTAAGGCCGCCCATCTGTAACATAGTATGATAGGAACAAATAACGCCATCTATCGGCTATGAAAGAGCGTTTGAAAGACGACCCATGGGGTCATGTAACAATCATAAAGGCTGGGTGTACCAGTACATTGCTATGGCAACTGCATGACCACTAAGTACTCGGTAGTACCCACAAGTATATTAATTGTATTGTCTGCGGCAGCCGATGGATGTGCACCATGCGGATTTCGTGCCCATCGGCCGAGCCCGTGCCTCCAAGAAAAGGGGGGCGTGCGGTGCTTGCGACCCGTGGCTCAGTAACGCCGCGGCATGCCTGCAGGCCTGCGAACGTACGTGCGGTAAGCTCCGCTGGACCACCGCCCGGCTGCCATCAAGGCATACTCCGGGGCACCTTGGTTCGCCATGTGCGTTGCGCCACCTGCACGGAGGGAGTGGCTACTGTAGCTGGGGCCCAGAACCCTGCGCAACACTACGTTGATGTCATTGGGCGTGAGCCATCGTCCATTGCCGAACTTGAAGAGAGGTTGTTCGTCACTACCCCATGCGCATGATCTGACGTATGCCTCGAGGGCCAGGACGGGGCATATTTGCGGGTCTGCATGGCGATGCAGCACAACCTCGCCACCGCTTGTCAGCTGCGATGTCTTCGTGCGTTGAAGCCGTAAGCTGGCTGTGGCCTGAGAGAGCACGAGGTGAGCGCGCCTGAGAGTTTTCAGGGTACCCGACCCTGCTGGCGACGGGGACGTGTACTCGCTAACTCGCAGCAGACCATGGAATGCTGTCGTCAATGCGGCCCATAGCATGAGCGTGTCGCCAGGGCTATAAGCGGAACGCTGCAGGAAAAGATGTAGTGCCTTGAGTTGTGCGGCGGTGATAGCCTGTCTCCGAGGCTGGGCAGTTGCGTGCCGTGGGAGCGATGCGCGTTCTCTCTCCAGGCCTTTCACCAGAGCGGTGAGCCGGCTGGATGGAAGGACTTCGACAGGTCCTCCCCTGCAGAGGAGGTTGTATCTGACTGCGGCCAGGTATACTTTCAAAGTGCCGGCACTGACAGAATGCGACATGGAAGCGGCAAATAGCAGGATGTCATCGTGACGCGGTGACAGCGGGTCGCGGTGAATCTGTTGCATGAACTTGCGGAATGCGTGCCAGCCCGGGGCATATGTGTGTTGCGTGGCTGCGGCCACTGAATTGGATATGAGTTGTTCGGCTCGTGCGGAAAGTGCGGCGGCTGGCGAGCCTGGCAGAGAGGACACAGGAGAAGAGATAGCGTGCCACATGCATCCACCAGTGACCGCGTATAGCAGCGCACATGCCCACATGCGCGCACATAAACACAAGCATATACACAAACATGCGCACATCCATCACCACCTGCCCTAGACAGCGGCTAGGAAGCGAGCGAGAAACACGATAGCTAGCCCTGCGTGCTGACTGGGGCCAGCGGTACGTTGCGGAGGAAGCGACTGCGGTGGCCCTCCTGCGGGAGGTTGCTTTTCTGCGGATAGATGAGCGATCTGGGCTGGCGAGCCATCATGTGAGCGGTTGCATGCGGCAACGGCCAGCGAGCCTGGAATCAACACAACAAAGGACAAAGAAATTCAGTCAGTGCGAGTGACCCTGCTTCGTACGACCCACCCCCATGAGCGCAGTCATGATCCTAGGTGTAACGGGGCTCTCTGACCGGCGGAGGCCTACTGCCATGAGGCGTGCGGATTTTGCTTGCGGCTTGCCTATTTGATTCCCCATCTAGATGTGTCTATTGCGGTGGTCTCCCTAGGCAGCGGCGGGACCGAACTGCTCCCAAAGAAAGTGCAGGCGTCTAGGGGACCTGATTCAGTCCCTAAGCACACCGGGCGGCAAATCTAGAGGACTTGACTCGGTCCATAAGCACACAGGGATGCGATTCTAAAGGACTTGACAATCCGTAAGCACACAGGGTTGAGGCAGAAATGATAGGCAGTAACACCCCGGCGAGGGCTTAACAACTAGTGCAGAGGTGCAACGGGTGGGGCGTGGCAGTAGGCTGTGCGAGCAGCGATACACAGCGGAAAAAGTAAAGGAAACAAAAGAAAACACGGGGGCAGAAGCAAAGTTCTGTGGTCTCAGGAGCAGAGCGTCCAATCTCGGTAACGGCGGACCCTGGATGGCGACTTCCTCACGCTGCGGCGTGGATGTTTGCGAGTGACGACGGACTGAGGTCGGCCCCGGGCGCCAAGAGGCGGAACCGTGGGAACTGAGCGCGGGATAGGGCATCTGCGATACCGTTGTCCACTCCGGCGATGTGGCGGATAAGCAGACAGAAGTTGTGGCGAGCGGCCGTCTGGAGGGTGCTGCGTATGAGCGCCACGACTCCTGGGTGCCGGCAGGTGCCCGACTCCCAGGCAGCGCACACGGAAGCGTTGTCGCAGTGGAGCAGGATCTTCTTCTGCGTCCAAAGCGGTCCCCACAGCTGGCAGGCGAGGGAGATTGGCCACATCTCCCTCCACATGATGGAGGTGTATGGCGGCGTCTGTTGCGTTGCGGACCATGCGCCGGCGAACCAGCGACCTTGAAAGAAGCCACCGAAGCCTAGGCCGGATGCGTCCGTGAACAACTCAAGGTCCGGTGACCTAGACCACTCTGGGTCGCGCATAAGGGCTTTGCCGTTCCAGACGGGAAGGAATTCCTGCCACCACCGGATATCGGCTAGGGCATCGCTGCTCAGGTGGACGATGGGCGATGAGCTGTGAGCGGAAGTGCATGCATCAATGAGCCGTCTAGTGAAGGTGCGTCCAGCTGGAACAACCTTTGCTGCGAAAGACAGGTGGCCCACTAGAGATTGGAGTTCCCGCCGTGAGGCGGTGTGGCGGGTGGACCATGACTGCAGCAGATGTTGCAGCGCGCGGAGCTTGTCAGTGGGAAGGCGGAGTTCCCCGGTGGCCGAGTCAATCTCGATGCCCAACACGGTGACGCACGTGGATGGACCCACCACCTTGTCGGTGCCAACTGCAGTGGGGACACCCAGGTTGTCGAACACCTGAAGGATCGTGGCCTTGTGGACTGCGGCTGTCGACGATGGCACCACAGTGGCTGGTGGTGATACCGAAACAAAGTCGTCGAGGTAGTGCTCGAGTGCGGGTATGCTGTACTTGTGGCGTAGGATCCACTCAAGCGCGTCTGCTAGGCGGTTAAACAAGCTAGGGGCGGACCGCAGACCGAACGGCAAGACTGTGTCGAAGTAATACTTCGATCTCCATTGCATGCCAAGCAGTGGCCAGTCGTCGGGGTGTACTGGACAGAGCCGAAACGCGTGCTTCAGGTCCACCTTGGTTATCAGTGCGCAGGGGCCTGTTCTGCGAACATGATCGGCAATGCAGTCGATCGTAATCAGTTTGAAGCGGTATTGGTCAGGGTCAATGAACGTGTTCACGCTGTTCCCCTGCGGGGCGGAGAGGTGCATGATCAACCGGTGCCCGCCTGATTTTTTCGGGACCACGCCGACTCCTGATGTGCGGAGGCAGGCGAATGGCGGAGCTGTGAAGGGACCGGCCGTATGGCCCCGCTGGCATTCAGTTGCGAGATATTGGTCAACGACTTCGGGGTGAGCTGTTGCAGAGGACAGATTAGCACTATGAACAGAAACATTACGAGGCCCGGTAAAACCAATGCGAAAGCCAAAACGCAAGTCATTAATCAAAGCAAGAACAAAAGAGGGGTCGGGGTGCGTGCGCAATTCATCGTGCAATACATCAATGTGGATGGGTGTGTGCGGTGCAATATTATAAATAAGACTATTAAGAGAGGATACTGCCGGGGCTGCCTTCGCGGCATCGCTATTTCTTGGCTGGGCAGGCGGAAGCTGGGTGCTCTCCCGAGCAAAACATGCATGCGTGGCGAAACTTGCACGAGCCGACGCAGGTGCCGTAGTTGTAACGGCGGCAGGTCTCGTTTGGTTTTGCGCTGGAGCTGACACCTTGCTCCTTTGGCCTGCTCCGAAAGGGCTGCGTTGTGCAGGAGGCGGTCAGGTGCCCCAGCCTCTTGCAGTTGTTGCAAAAGGGGAGTGCCTGCCCGGTAAAGCAGGTCGTGTAGAGCTCAGTGTCCAGGTCTGCCAGTGACCGGGACAAATCTTTCGACAGCGCCTGCCGCGCCCTGGTGTCGAATTCTACAACTGCTGCGAAGCGGTACTTGCCGGCGGCCTGGATGATTCGGAGTTGGTGAATCATCAGGGCTTCGGCGCATAGGTGATGTTCGCCTATGGCAATCAGGCTGAAAATGGACCACGCCTCGATCCACGTGGCCAAGTTTTCAATTTTCCGTTTTGGAGCGGCGCAGACTGCCAGTGCCCCGTCGTCATCTACCCGGAATCTCTTGGGGGTTGGTTCGGCGGCTGGTCCCGGCTTTGGGGGCAGCAGACAAGCAATATCGACATACTCGATCCGTTTTATTTTGTCAATGGCTTCTGGGGCCACATGCGCAATACAAGCGGGGGTGTGGTGCATTACATCCGGGAACATACCGTTTGCTCCAGTCTCGGAGTCAGCCGCGTGGTGTCCGGCCGGCGGGCTGTTGCCAAGTGCTGCTGCAACGCTGGCAGCCACAATCTCGGCGATGGAGTCCCTCTGGGCTGCTGAGAAAGCCATACTAAAGTTCTAAATGTTGAGGAATAGAAAACAAAATTGCGTGGCGAGCACTCGCAGCAAAACAGACAACTGGCAAAATTACACCAGCCAGCAGTAGATGAGCCGTCTACGGATGCATCCGCCAGGCGAAGGGTGGCTCATACGGGATGTCGTACGCGAGTGCGACCCGAATGCGGAACTCTGCAAGAGTGCGTGCTTGCGCCAGTCGACTGCGGCGGCACGGCCGAGTGCGTATGGTCACCTAAAGTCATCTTGCGGGAATATTCCCCTGCGGGGGCGCGGCCCGTGGCGTGCTGGTTAACTACGGTTTGCGCAACGCAAACCAACATTTTTGAGTGACCCGCCTCATATTATAATTATTCAGTGATATTGAAGTGATATGTAGCGCTATGGGAATGGGTGTGTCCACCCGAATTCTTTTCACAGATGAAGCTGCAGGAAGCCTCAGCCCTTCTTTATATTTTATTTAGTTAGTTCAATCCAGGGAGTAGTACAATACCATGTACAGCTGCTGTATAGGGCTTGAAAGTGCTACGTCACAGCATAGCAACAATTTCAAAAATTCAAAAACTGGATCCACTTGGATCCAGTTTTTGTATGGATCCAAGCACATTTCAAGTCGTCTTACTCACAGCAAGGTGATGTAGCCAGTGAAACTGACTGATTTGGCTACTGGGGGCGGGGTTACAACTGGTGGCGAAGTAAAATTCACCCCTGCATACGACATGAGTGGGTTGCTATGCACCCACATACTGAGGCAATAGCAAAGTCACACCTTAGTGGATCCAAAATAGAAATCTGATGTCAACTTACTACTCCCTGGCCGTTTTTGACGTCATCACTTTCAAGCCCTCCCTGGTTCAATCCAACCAATCTTGACGTCACGACTAAGAGTCCATGACCATGATGACGACATGTACATGCGCCTTGCTTGTGATCGTGAATCTGTTTCAAATCAAAAAACCAAAAAAATGAAAATAATGATCCATGTTTCATTCACTGACTTTGTTTTTTTTCTGAAGAACCTCACGACTTCTTATGTGCCCGTCAAAGAAGCCTTGGTGAACGGTTTGCCTGTCTGCCATGACTGCATCATATCAGCATTCGAAGACAAGGAAGGCTACCCACGCAGGCAGCTGGTATGACAGCCAGGGTAAGTTCATTTGCCCTTGTTTGTTCGCACACGAAATATCTTTCCACCACAAGCACTCCTGCAAGTCTTTATTCATTCTATTTTGGTCTGAATATCTACTTCTTCAGGTGACGTGCTTTCGTCGAAATTGAAAGCGTGGCTGGAGAATGCCAGTCCATCTCATGCACCAGCTCGTGCTATTATAGCACCGTATCCTTCACTGTCCAGCAAGCACCCTGAGGTGTAGCTGAATGATTGATGTGATGGCAGGCAGATGTACAGTGGAGGCATTGGTCGCACAGCTTTTCAGTGCCAAGAAAGGCTGCTTGCATACACGCACATGCCTTGGTTTTGACCAAATATGGGCTACGTTGTGCATGACCACAGGCAGAATTGCGTACAGCATAAAATCAATATTTCGCCACTCGCAGCCTTCTTGGTGCTGAGTCGAATGGTTGTGGTCCGAGGAAGCTGGGACACTCCGCATGTGGTTGAATGGTGCATCGCAGCCTTCTCGGATCAACACCATTCGCCACAGCACCCAGAAAACTACCAGTTCTGAAAGTTTCATCTTCGCCTGTCCCTCAATAAGAACGAAAGGATGCTTCCTGTGAAATTTTCCATGCAGACCCCGATCTACAATCATTATTGTAGTAGGGCTCACTCTTCCTATTTCGGTGGAGGTATGTGAATTTGATGGGGAATATAGGATGAACGGAGCTCCGCAGTCTCCTCAGACTAGTGCAACCATCTCAGCACCCAAAAGACTACAAACTAAAAGAGTGAGTTACGTAAATAAGCGACAAGGCAACAACAGTTTCAGTCATTGTTTTCACATTGTCACAAAAAAGCCGTTACACGTGTCAATTCAGCTCGTTCTTTGCAATTTAAAAATGGTTGAATTTAGATTTTTAGGGTATGTAGCAACTGGCAATCTAGAACATGATTGTACACTGTATAAAACGAAGAGAACACCATTCACCGCACTGACTGGGAACAGACCCATCTACAAGAGAATAGATAGTTTGATGTTCATGTACATGATTTCAATTAGCCCCTGCTTGTTTACTTGTTTCAAGCATGTTGTTCATGTCGTCGTATAGCACCGTACCCATCATTCTTCATCACAGAGAATTCCTGTGTATGTTCGGTGTCCTCTGCGGCCTTCCAATTCCATTATGCAACAGTACAGCTTGTAGGTCAATGGCTGTGGCTAGTGGCACAGTCTCGTGCACATGTACCGGAAATACCAGCAAATGATTAAATTTGTAATGTGGCCTTGGACCATTGAATCACTGTGTTCGTAGGTGTGAATCACAGTAAAACTGCCCTAATCCGCACGCGCCGAATTAAATTATTTAGGCACACCCGTCTACCGAGAACCTTTTTCAGACCTACCTGGAGTCGCAAAAATTGGCTTTTCAGCGAAAACGCCCCCGCCCCCCTAAACTATCGACTGGCATAAAACATGTTTTCTTGCATGCAGTATGTAATAAGTATGTACATGTGTTTTTTCTGAGTTACGGGCAGTTCCTAGTTACGGGCACTGCTCGATCCCAACGTGCCCTGATTAAGGGAGATCTACTGTACCGTAAAATAGTACCAGTACAGGTACTACTGTAGTAAATTGTGGTATGTGTGATCACTGCTCTCGATCTCCTGCTGATATTGTCCTTGACGAGATGTGTTAAAAGGCATGCTGGCTACTCGTATAGCGGTCCATGCGCTGCGTTCGCTTACCGCCAGGTTGTACCAGAAAAAGTGTAAGTTGACGTCAGACAAGATCCTTGCCGGTTGTTGCACATTTTGACCCCGCTAATATTTGCACAACTGCACAGGACAGTAGCCAGGCATAGATTGGTTATCGGAACACTTTGTGAGACCAATCCACATTTGCGTAATGTCAACGATTTGGATGGTGTTACTGTATTGCTTGCAAATAACATTGATGTCATGTGACATATTGAGTGGTCTTGTACAGTGAAGCCCCATGTCATTCTACAGTTGTGCTATTGTTATTTCCAACCTAAAATGCATATTCTGGAACCCTGGATTTGATGGGAATGCTGGTGGAGGTACGCTTGTAAAAAATGCGGTGATGTCAACGGAACTGGTCCAGGGCGCCAGCTTTGCACTTTAGGTCAAAGTTCACCTAGTGCAACGGTTACTGTACTTGCTGCATTTTGTTGTTTTGGTCATTTTCTTCTGCTTTGCTGCTGAATCTTTCACAATGTCAAGCACCCTGGACATGTAGCTGTGTATGTGATTGAAGCCTGTACTTGAATCTGTGCGCTACAAGTGCTGAAGCTGGAAATATTCCATATTTATGTGCATTGATCAATGTGTCGCTCTGTGTTTGCCACTGACTGCTGCTCACGTTTGTGCAATTGCAGAAAATGTGTTTTCATCCTCGGCCCGTCTCATCATTACTATCTGAAGACTTGTGCACTGGCGTCCGTCGACGCTTATGAAACTCCTCTGTACAACCTCACCATTAACAAGAAAAGTGAGTCATGGCTGAGGCTCTCAGACTGCTTTGCTTGACTTGTGGAGGGGTGTGGTATCATTGTAGTGGAGCGAGGGAGAACGAGAGGTTGAGAACAGGTACGTGAGCTATGGCGGTGTGCATGTGCGTCTGCTTGCTTGGCACTCAGCCTGTCCGTGTCACTTGGACATTCTGGCCGTGATTAAATTCATGTATGTACGGGTCACATTCGAATGATTCGATCCTCTCTTTCTTTCCACAGTTTATCAAGAGCTGCGTGGCGCGGCTTCGTTTGATTCCATGACTCATGGTGATGACGAGGCAGAGCATAGCATGGAAATGCACTTGCCCTACATAGCCAAGATTATGGAAAGGTAAGAACTGCGAACGGCGAACTGTGAACTGCACTTGCAATTCTCCACCATCTGGCTCTTGGCACGTACACGCATGAAAGCTGTCCCCATGCTGATTTTCTGCATGCTTGTTGTCTTCGTTCCAAGACTTCAGCTACACATTCTGTGCCACTATTGTACACATACATAGCAAACTGCTTCGTTCTAGTGATGCCAAGAACAGCTGTGCTATTCTCTGTGCAGGTTTTGCATTTCATCAGCATGTCGTCCTAACTAAGTACAGTACAGTCAACTTCGTGAATATTGAATAACAACCTAGGGTATGACAACAACTCGCGAAAATTAATAATTATAATAATAATTATACAGTCTTCAGACTTCCCTCAACTAATAAGTGACCATTTGACTGCCTACTTTCAACCTCGCGAATGACGACAACTCCCCGAACAACGACACTTGTCTCATTCTCGATCGAGGGTCTTTTTTCGCAAGGTTGGCTGTACATGATGTAACCGTGGAGTGTCATAATTTCCCAGCACGACCTCCTGCTTCAGGCTGCATGCAGAGCAGAGAATCATACGAACTATTTACACCACACAAACTTGACACGAACTTTGGATTTTTTGGAGTACCGCAGTGTGATCCAGGTCGTCATCTTTCACCACAGACTCTGAAAGTCTGACTGCATTATCAACCCTTGCTCTCTACATTCGAAAAGTCTCGCAATTCAGAATGCAAGTCCTCATCTCTATTATCTCTTTGTCCTGCTGTGCTTTTTTTTCTGTCAATTGACTACAGTCGTCGTGATAATTTCACAATAGTCCCCATTCTAGTTGGTAGCTTGAGTCACGACACGGAGGCGAAGTATGGCGCTATCCTTGCCAAGTACCTCGCTGATGACGAGAATCTATTCGTTGTGTCATCCGACTTCTGCCATTGGGGTATGTGGTGACATCCTGCTCTTGCGATGGTACAGCTGATGTGCTGCATCGTCTTGCATGTGTCTTGCTTCAAGCAGTGCTTTTTTTTCTCTTTGCCATAATATCACATGTGTAGCAGAATTTGCACGCAATCAGCTGCCATTTTCTCGGTGCGACCACAGTTCACTGTTGTTCTAGGTTTTTTTGTTGAATAATGGAGTGTGGTGGTGGGGCCCGTTAAGCTCAGCCGACCACAGGTCTCGGCATACTAAAATGTACCGGGTGTAGAGTGGAATGCCTGCCTTGGCTTGGAACTACTTTTTTTTATGTACTTTGAAGTACATGTACGTGTATGATGTGCCTGATGTGCAGTGTGTTTTGTTTGCATGTTGGATGTGCAGTTTGTTAGCTTCACCGGAATCTGAGTTTTGTTGTTGTAATGTTTTGCTTTTTGCCTGCAGGGAAGCGCTTCAGATACGTAGAATATGATAAAACAAAGGGCAAGATCCATGAATCTATTGAGTGTATGGATAAAGAGGTATGTACAACTGTATGTGTGTGTGTGTAACCTGGGTTTCGAAGGGAAAGTGCCACTTGTAGTCCTTCCTTGTAGCAAATATGTGTGTGTGTGCACATGTGTCATGGCCTGAGCAGACTCTTCTTTCTTCCGCCTTCTTTTGAAATGGCAGGCATCCCCACGCTGCTGCTCTGTATTGCATATTTGCTGTCATATTGCCGAGAGAGATTCCACTTGCAGGGAGAGGGGGGGGGGGGGGGGGGGGGAGTCCTGGACAGTAATTTGCTTCTACATGTACAATGTACAGTACGGATCGGCTATAGCGTTGGTGTTTGATTTTCGTGAAAATATCACTATAGGCGATATATTACTATAGGCGATATGCATACTTAGGTATGCCTGACAAATGCGTGTATGGTGTCATTCGAATCAGTGCAGCGAGCAGAAGCGTGCTGTGCATGTGACTGTTCAATACGCGCCGGGCAGAGCTACTTCCTGCGGAAGCAAAAACTTCGTGACTTTTTGACATGAGTTTTCAAGGAATGTGTTCTTTTGGATGAGAAACACTTCAACACATTCAATCGACATATCAACAATATCTACAGGATCGATTAGTGGGAGTAGAGTCTCAGTCTGGGTCGCCATCGCTCGACTCATCACCGCTTAAACCGTTCCAAGTGGCAGGTCGATCGACGCGTGATGTCGTATGTCACGGAGAAGCTTCTCCGCGTCCCTGATCGTCTTCGCTGTTACCTGAATGCCTTCTCCAACATCTCGGCGGAGACCACGGTAGCGCTTCAGCGCTGGTACTCATTACTGCCTCCAATCTCGCTCGAGGATGCCCCGAAACAACAAGCACAGCCAACGCCAAACATTTCGAATTTTCTCCGAGGGATATCATACTCGTACCAGCGCTTAAGCCCTGGCTGCCGCGATCAGATCTCGCCATGTACGATGTATACTTTTTTATGATCATCACTATAGCCGATGAAAAATGCATGCAGTAAGATCATTTTGACACAGAAATCGTATCACTATAGCCGATATATTACTATAGCCGATTATTACTATAGCCGATCCGATATGTATAGAAAGGGGTGGTTTACGAAAATGAATTTGAGAATACGATCACTACAAGAGGTATATTACTATAGCCGACAACCCTATAGCCGATCCGCACTGTATGTGGACAGGCTGGTCTACCCGATCAGGACTGAGACCTCTACAGCAGATTTTTTCAAATTGGTTGCTGGATGTTTCTGTGGCGCACTTCCAAAATTTGTATGAAACAATGATTGACAAAGATCCAGCAAGTGTGTGTGTATATATAATTATTATTATGTAATCATTATATGTGTGTGTGTGTGTGTGTGTGTGTGTGTGTGTGTGTGTGTGTGTGTGTGTGTGTGTGTGTGTGTGTGCGTGTTTGTGTGCGCGTGCGTGTGTGTGTGTGTCTGTCTGTGTGCCTGCGTGTGGACTGTATGTCTGGCTGTGTTTCCTATGAGATACGGTTTATTTTTAGAAGTGTACAGTTAGCCATGTGGCTGGATTACAAGAGTGTGTCTTTCTCTGTTTCCCTTCAGGGCATGGAAATCATTGAGAGCCTCAACCCCAGGCACTTTGCCTCGTACCTGTTGCGAACAGAAAACACAATTTGTGGGCGCCATCCGATAGGAGTCTTCTTGAATGTGAGTACTGGTGCTTGTACTTGCTTTGTGGCATAGGACTCAGGTCAGGGAAGACCCTGTAAAATCTCACATTCTTGACTCACTGAGTCTACTGACACCATCGTCCCCTGCTAGTGAAAGTGCTGTGGTAATATAGGTTGTAGATAAGCCTTGTTTCTACTTACTTTGAGTTACTCCTTTTAAAATGCCCCTGTTAAAGCGACCTAGTACAATTACGCACATTTCTTTCTTCTTCAATTTGCTTTTTATGCTCTGTTTGTCTGTGCCTGTTCCTTGTTACCCACCGCAGGCGGTTGACGTCATGCGACGTGACTACCCTGCACTGCAACCGTCAATGAAGTTTACAAAGTATGCCCAGTCCAGTAAAGCCACATCCGCAGACGACAGCTCAGTTAGCTATGCATCTGGCGCTCTGGTCGTAGCGAATGCGCCGACCGAAGCAAAGTCAGCAGCGGGTGCACAAGCCAGTAGATAACTACTTTGTTCACGGAGCTGATGATTCTCTCTTTTTCTAGTTGCTGTGTCAATACCTTATTTGGCAATATGTTATTCACCTTCTCCGCTTTTAGTTCTTGTGTATCTTTAGACTTATTCTCCACTTACACTAAGCTGCTTGTCTACGTCTGCTGATGCTACATACACGCGCGCGCGTACTCCCCCCCCCCCCCCCCCCGTCCAATTTCTTCTTTGTCATTTAGTACTTGATATATTAGCCAGATGAACAGGTTATCTTTCAAATCACCAATGCCAGCATGTTTATTCGTTGCTCGTTCGCCAGTTGTTCCATTTACATGGCCACTTGCAAGGTCATCACAGCAGACTCTGTTTTAACGTTATCCCATTTTACTCTCCAGGCTGCAACTAACTGGTGGTCTGCTGTGTTCTGTCGTGGTCATGTGTACCTCATATGAACACATTTCTGTTTTATTTGTACCCTATTTTACCTCCTCTTTTCAACATGTACAGTATGTTTGACAGTGTGTTTTCTTTTTGTTCCAGGAAGATAACTGGGACTGGTGTTTTTGTCATGTTTCAACGATTGTGCCATCATTGGCTGTCATGTAGTTTGTACTGGTACATGTACTGGTCTGATTTTAACAATTATGCTGACTTTACTCCGGCTTATGGTTTGCTTTTCGGTTTTTTTCTGGACGAGGGATGTTCAATGAAAGCCGATCAAAACGAATGCAATGTGTTTTGTGTTACTTATGTTCCGATGGCCGGACCAATTCAGTCACTTCTACTGGCTTTTCAAGGGGAACTGGTAGGACTACCATGGTGGTCGAGGTGGCATCTGTGCATTAATTAATTGTACATGTACATGCATGCATTGCACTTCTTCAACATGATTCGAAAATGTGGATGTATGCGCAGAGGGACCCATCCGCGAGTGCACAATCAAGGACGCTCAGCAGATTGCAGTGGTGCCCAAGTGCGGTGAGATGCACCCTGCACAGAATGGATAGCGCACTCGCTAGTATGCACACAGCATAGCGTATATCATTATCAGATGCTTGGACACAAATGGTATCCCAAAGTCATTTATAAACTAATGTATGATATGCAGAGCACATGGAAGTGGTCTGAGTCTTGACAGTACATAAAAAGTAGAATAAGAAAGGAATGCTGTGGGGATGCCATATCATGAGGCGCACAAATCTATTGCGGTTTTCAAATAGACAGCATTGAAACGACCGCAAACAACAAACAAACAAACAAAAAAACCTAGAAATCGGTGCAAAGTTCTATAAGTTAATCTGGCTTTTACACACTGCACTACAGTGGTGTGAAAGCCGAGGCCAGCAGTGTACAACTTGCCTATTGAGAAACCAGTCTGGATAGCAGAGCAGAATCTCCATGTTCATGTTGATGGCGACACCAATCATACGATGCCGGGTGAGCGGAAATCTAAATCGTTTTTCTTAGCTCTTCGTCGATCTTGCGAACTGACGGTGGACCAGCTGGAATACCAATGAGATCTTGCTCGTCAGCCATAATCTTCTCTGCCCCAGCTGCAAAGGCACAACCATAAGCAGGAAAGACCACAGACTGTCACAATGGCGCAGTTCATAGGACGCTTGCAAACTAACTTGCCATAGCAAGCACATGATTCCCTGGACTATGGCACAGAACACGGAACCAAACACGATACCAAGAGCATGCACTAGCAACAGTCACGTACATACTCGAGTGACACTCGGCGTGCATGTGAAATATTTTCGGTTCCAGACAAAGCACCCCCCCCCCCCCCACACACACACACATTGAATGGGAGACGCACATGAAAGTCCAAAGCCCACATAGGGAAACTGGTCATCCCACCAGTGGCGGATCCAGGGGGGGGCCCAGGGGGCCTGGGCCCCCCCTTTGAAAATTTCGACCTTGGTCTAGGATTACAGTAGACTGTAGAATGAGCGCTCGAAATTACTTGGCGTGTCAAGTGGGTCACGCGTGCTGGGTACTTTTATACGTGTCCGATCACTCCGGTACATGGTGTCACGCACCGAGCATGAGTCTGTACTAGTCAGCGCGCTGTGTACCGGTGTACAACTACTGTACGCACTGCGACCTGAGGACACGGCCGCACTTCAAACATGTGAAAAACGTGCCAAAAATGCAGGGCCTGGTACATAGTGCAGCGATCGCGTTGGGCTGAAGTCCTGTTTGGTGCACGGTGCTGTCGACTTCGTCCTTCCTTTTTTCTTTTTCAATTGTCAGAAACTACAAGTATACGCTCTCTAGCTCTCTACTTCGCTTGTAGCCAACGGGTTACCTTCAGATATGAGATGAAGAGGAAAGGGTCTGACATCAGGTCGTTCTTCAGTGGACCGGTAGATAAGAGAGCTCGCGTTGGAGAGCCGTCCAAAGGTCCGTCGCGGCCGCTGTCGAGTGGAAATGTTCCAGTGCAGTTTGAAAATGTCGTGAGAATGGAATAAAACTAGAAACCGGCGGATTCTGCTCGAAAAGGTGGCATATTCTGCTCGAAAAGCAGTGAAATTGGCAGAATCATACAAACCTTATGGCGGGCAATTCCTCGAATTCTGCTCCATACTATAGTATTTTTATCCACATACCAAACATCCATAAAACTTACCAGAAAAAGTACCGAATTCTGTCAATTTTTCTGCCGGCAGAATCCGCCGGACCCTAAAAACAACTGCTCTTCACAGCTTCAGGACTTTGTTGTTGTTGTATTTGTTGTTTTGTTTTGGGGGGGGGGGGGCGGATACCTTGGGCCCCCTCTTCGGCCAAGTCCTGGATCCGCCACTGCCCACCACGTCATGGCCCTGTTCGGTGTGGCAATAAATATTGCACGAAGATTCACAAACAACCTCAGAAGTTTGAGGGAGATGAAACAGGAGGAAGGGCAGAAGTTGAGAGTCAGGAAAATCAAAATGATGACATGTGATATGTACTGACCGCGAATTCTGTTCATCTTTCCATTGTAGCACATATCCCATTGGTAAGCGGTGACAAAGGAAATTGGAAGCAGTGGAGCAAACACTGCCGGGTTCTTGGTCTTGCGGAACCCACCGATGCACGCACCAGACACGACCAGCGCAAAGGTCGCATACCAGTTGAACATCTCACGGCCGCGAGCCAGCTGCATGGCCACCTGGCGATCGCGCAGCATCAGCTGCAGCTTGATTTGCCGCTCCATCTACAGAGCAGCACAAGAAAAACGACAACAAACACAATGCACTGATGATTTTAGATGCTTTGTATGGAGTGGCAAAGCTGTGGCGGAGTGGCAGTGACCGAGCAGTTGAGCACTGGGTCACTGCAGCAGTCAATCTGTTGAATTCTTGAATTTAACTCTCTCCCGTTCAGTCTCCAACCTGGCCAATTTTCTGGAAGAAAGAGGCTAGATACTAAACCCCTCCAAAGCTCACGTTCTGGCCCTACATGCGTCCCGCAGGCAGCCCTTGCTACTTTTAAAACATAGAATGCAATGGAGATCCCCTTGCTCAGACCACAACTGCTCGATATCTAGGTCTGCATCTCGACTCCCAGCTTCGGTGGGAGATTCAAGTTGCGACTATCACACGGAAGACCTCCCAGAAACTGACAGCGCTGCGAGCCATTCGCTCCTGCTTAACTGAGCAACACACCCTGTTATTTTACAGATCGCTAATAATACCTGACATGTTATATGGATCCAATGCCTTCTTCTCGGTTCTCTCTGCGCACCAACGGCATCAGCTTTCGGTCCTCGACAAGCGATGAATCTGCTGCGTTGCCAACCAGCCATTCCCCTCCCACACAGATCCCATCTACACACGTCTTGGCCTCATCCCCATCATCCAAAACGCCCATTGTAAACTCCGCCTCCTCATGCTTCGTATCCACACCGCCAGAATTAGCAATCTCCTGTCCAAGAGCCTATGTCGCCCACCTGAAGGTGTCACTCGGATCAATGATCCCAATGCGTACGTTGTCCCTGCCACCAGGCGAGTCTCTGGTGACTGTCAGCCGCTCATTTTTGCTGTTAGATTATGGAACGCCCTGCCCCAAGAGTTCAAGTCCCTCGCCTGCCATAGATCATTCGAGAGACTTTTGAAGGTTTATTTCTATGGTTAGCCAGCATCTAGGCTTGGATTTGGAGTCGTCCTGCGAAGTGACTCAACTGTAGTTTTGGTTTCGTTTTGTTTGTCTTTTGTTCTTTTTCCTTTTTCCCTTGTACTTTTTTCTATCTTCTTTTTGAGTGTTTGCAGTCTGTGTTTTTCTCTCTTTCGTGGAGGTTTGTTGTATTCTTGGGTTTTAACTTTTTGAGTCTTTTGACCGTTACTGTATCGCCATCATAATATTGGGCATCAATGCCCGTTTGGTCTGCGATACAAAATAAAATTTCAACAACAACTGCCACTCCGCTGAAGCTTTGTCACTCCATACAAAGCATCTAAAAATATGACATAATCACATCTCTATATCCAAGGTCAAATGACAGGTCTAGTACGAGCATATAATACTAATAGTGCAGAGACCTTAAGATAGTACAGCCCTCTATATCCCATAGTGTGTTATAGAGGGTTTTTTCAAGGACGAACCAACGGTCACTTTTTGGGATCACGTGTGAGAAAATTTTGAATCGCTGGTGAACAGGCGAATCCCATGTCACATTGAGTTTGTAATGGAATGGACGCGTGGAGGTGAAAGAAGCACTAGGATGGTGCTCAACTTCATGTCCGACACTCCTGTTGACTCAGAGCAGCTGCCAGGAAGCCCTTCCATGGCTTGGGCGAAAAAGAACAAGCTTCAAAATCGCTCCAAGCACTGGCGGAGACGAACCTGTCATTGTTCGTATACTTTTCAATGTGTGACCTGTTGTTCACCACAATCTTGGGGTGAGCGCCGCTGACAGGCACGGCGCCGCGTCCTTGAACAAGCTCTATAGACCAGGGTGTTTATATCCCATAGTACCGGTATGTTATAGACCTGGGTGTTTATATGTATATAATACAACCCAACAGTACGCTTGTACGTGAAATATAAACCGACATACAAACCGAGGCGAAGCCGAGGTTTGTATGATGGTTTATATTTCACGTACAAGCGTACTAGTGGGATGTATTATACTTATGCTGACCTTCATACAAACTGACAGTCAACTTCTTCCTGTTTCTATGGTGGCGGTCTATATGGGGTTTGTATGAGGTTTAGGCCATCATTTTTTATATCTATGACTATGTTTCGCGTCGTCCGCACGCATATGTTTTGCCTTTTTTTAGGAAAAAAAATAAAAAATCGAACATGCACAGTGAGTGTACGATTGTGCGAATCATCAGTGTCGACTGGTTGCATATGGCGAAGCTAGGATTCAGAAATGGCCTCGAGGCCAGCGTTGGTAAATCATTTGTTCGGCATCTGCGAGCAGTATTCTATGAGCTTACACCAGACCGCATCGATCGCCTCAAGCTGAGAGGATGCGTCGTTCCGGACCTCTTTGCACCGCTGCTGAAGTCTGAGTACTGTACAATAATCCAGCGAAACATGGGCACCAACGGTTGCCTCCTCTGTCCAAAGTGAATATTTACTCACACTGATAACCCAGATGTTGTGCTTGGATGTAGGATTTTTCTTTCGAATGTACACCATGCACAAGGTATTGTGCTATGTACAGTGCTATACCTGATGAGCCTTTTTTATTATTTTGCATTTTTTTCCACCTCTCGCATAATGATTCTGGAAGTTGAACTGACGCGAAACATACCGTATTTTTCCGGTTGTAAGTCGACCTTTTACGACTTAAAATAGAAGCAGAAAGGGTGGGGGTCGACTTACAACCGGGATTCGACTTATAACCGGGAACTATCAGTATCTTACAAAAAATGACCTGCACTGCATTCACGGATGCACCATGTTTACACATTTTTGCCAGTTTATTGGCCTTTTTCAAGGATTGGGACGTTATATCCTCCAATAAGGAATGCTGACATGATTTGTTGATGTGTTAGTACCAGGAGGTGGTTAGTAGTGCTTCTTTGGGTGAAAACTTTAAAACACAGAATTGAGACCTCCAGATAGGGGGGTCGACTTATAACCGGGGTCGACTTACAACCGGTAAAATACGGTAGATATAAAAAATGATGGCCTTATACGCCCAGTATAAGCCGCCAGCATGATGGGCAAGTTGACTGGAAGTTTGTATGAAAGGTCAGCATAACCCATAGTACCGGTATGTTATAGACCAGGGTATTATACACCGTGGTTTCACTCTGCATGTACATTGTTCTTGCCGGGAAAAGAATATGAGGTTACACAAGTAATGCTAGACTACCGTAAAAGACCGTAAATAATTACGTATTTACTTTCGAATTTAGTGACACAACCCGTACTAACTTTCGGGCGGGTACTGACTTTCGGGCGCGAACTAACTTTCGGACCTGACTTGTGTGTAGTGGAGAAGTCATTTTCATGTCGATGTACATGTACATGCTACGTGCTGCATGTGCGCACCGTACCGGTACTTATTTCGGGCAGTATGTTTATCGGGCTTGACTTGACTTCAACAGACAGAGCCAAAAGAATGAAGGGGGTATTTCTTTCGGGCAGGTACTTATTTACGGACTTACTACCACTTTTATGTCAAAAATTCAAAAAATTCACGTAAAATTCGACGTGTTTTACGTGAGTTGACTGTCCTGCACGTAACTTCGTGACGCGGGTTTTTGGAAGTTTCGCTTGGTTATCCCGATCGAATTTGTGTGAGTTTCCGTAGTTTTATCGAGTTTTATCGAGTTTGTTGGAAGATTTGATATTTGTGCGAACTTAACCTGAATCCTGCCAGGCAAAATTTCACGTCACATCGCACGTGTAACTTGACCTCTAAAAATTACACGTAACGTGAGATTTGCACCGCGTTTTGAAAAAAGGCAAAAAAGGTGTAACTTAACCTCTCTACTGTTACCAGTAATCGTACGTCACAATAATGCAACTCCATGAGTGACTATGGCAAAGAATAGTCATGTATGTACAGGATAAAGATAAAATAATCTGTGCAATGCAACACAATGTATGTGGACGACGGTTTCAATTTTCAAGTAAGTGCCTTTTCACTGCTTCTTTAAATACAGCAAATTTGAAACTTCGCCACAAACTTCAAATAATAATAATAATTACTAGTACTTACCATATTACGCTGCATTGAAGCTTGAACCTCTATTTGCTCCTTCATATTCTCCTTCATCGCTGATCCAATCACACTACCCATGGCTGCGTTTTCCAGCGAGATAACTCTTTCCTTTAGAAACTCAATCAAGTTATTTTTATTACCTGCCCTACTGCTGGTAATAATTCAAAAAAAGCACCTTCTCGCTCTTTTTTCACTATTCACTTTTCCACTCCATCCAAAGTCTTTTGTAGTGTCAAGTTTTTCACGTGGCAAGTTCACGTAGTCTACGTAGATTCTCTATGTAGCCGGCCTTGTTATGTAGGTTACGTAACGACTGCGTACATACATTTCTGTACATGACTCGTGCTTGTGTGTGACTCTCTGGCAGACTCTGCTTTCTGCCGCACTGGCAGTTGCTGAAGCTCGGATTGTGGTCTGATCCAGCTCAGAAGCCGGCAGTATTTTGTGTGGGAACTGAACGGATTTTTGTCATCAAGTGTACAGTGTTTTACTCTCTCATTGCTTTTTGATCCATGTTAACGTTATGTGTTTTATGGTGTTTTTATGTCCTGTATTTTTTTCACGCGGAGAAGGCGGACGCGTACCGGACAGCCCGAATTCGCGAACCGTGCCCATTTTCAATGTTTTGAGTTTTGCCCGTACATACATGACTTGTACAATCATGTACAGTATACGGTAACCAGAAGCCCCCCCCCCCAAACACACACACACACAGACTCCGAAAGAAAAGAAATCCGGTGCAAAGACAGACGATAACGGATACAACCGTATTCCCGAAGGGATTGTATTATGTTATTTATGTACTCTTGGTACCACCATGGGATACTAGTAACGGCCTACTAACTTACTCCCAGTATTCATACGGTCACGAGGCAGTTTTCCGGGCCAAGTTCTCAGTGATGCGTCCTCTGTTCTTCTCAGGCCCCTCCTCTTACCATGCTCACCATGCTTACCAACCGTGAACGATGAACACACCAACACACACTACACTGATGTGGCTACAGTAGAGTCGCGCGCTGAAGAATGTCGAGCCCAAGAACGTCCAGCCTGAAATTTGGCACCACAGACTAAAGCTAAGAACGGCGGTGTTGGTTTTCTAGCAGCTTGTGGGATACATATGATCCAGTATGGTTTGTTTCTAAGAACGTGCTATAAGAACACAGCCAGATTTCTGAAAAATAAGAACGTCCCAGGCTAACCCCTTGGAAACAACGTTCTTGGGCGCGCGACTCTACTGCGTGTTTAGACTCCTCGCAAACGTATCGTTTTGCCGTCCTTAAACAAACAGTCCATTGGGGAGAAGGGGGGGGGGCACAAGACGATGAACATGACATCAGTCACACATACAGGCAAATAGCACACACGCCTTTGGAGGTGGTACGGCCGGAGGGGCCGGGATGTCCCCCGGATTTTTTTGAAATTAGGGTACAAAATCCTGCATTCAGGGCGAAAAAGTGGTCCGGCTTTGGCCGGACCGGCTGCTACGCCCCTGGTATAGCTATGGCATAATCGGACAAGCTTAGCGATCCATGCCGTTCAGCACAGCGCTATAGCAAGCAATGTCCGTGTGGGGGTTGGGGGAGTCACGTGTGAAGGGAAGGATCGCTGTTCATTTCAGGGACGACGCCGCGTAAAGCGTTTGTGACGGGCCTCTATGGCAGTCTCCGTCAGTGAAAGCCGAAAGGGCAATACGCGGCACTGACACAATCACAAGCATCAACCTACAGTCCATTCAGAAAAAAGATGATATCCTAGCTTTTGGCCATAAACGGGTCAAATTTTGAGTTTTCGTCTCAATATTTTTGGCAATCCCCTATGGAATGCTCTTCCAATTGTGTTTTTGAAGTCTAGTTCTCCAAAGAGCAAGCCATAACAAGAATAGGATTTCGGCCAGGTTTTGCCCCCAACGTACTGAATTTGGGAAAACCATGAAAATCCAGGCAGTTCACTTCACTTGCATAACAGTACATTTGCGGTTCGAACCCCAGTTGAGGTTCATTTTGGACCCTTTTCAAGTTTCGAATCTCGCGGCACTATGTACCACAAAATCGCCAAATACAGGAGCTCTCCAGAGCCAGCGCTCATCTTTTTCTGAATGGACTCAGTCACTGTAGTCCTGTGAGAGAATGGGCTGCAGTTCAATGTACGAAATATCAGAAATACTGTCAATCATGATCCAACAAGAGTACACCCTAGCTGAATGGCAGCATGCCGATATTCTGGACAAGTCCGCATCGCGAGCATGGAAATGATTGTCAGGTATTGACAACTGTCGTAACTGCTCTAGAACTTAGTCGGCTGGGCATGTTGACAGCGAATCTAAACGGGGGGGGGGGGGGGGGGCTCTAGTGGATGCCAGGTATGCTATGTCAGCTGACGATGTCTGGGTGTGCCCAATACGGAGATCGGAGACTGCTGGATACTGACACCGCCAGTAAGTTACTTTGAAGCAGCAGATCATTCAACTGGAGAGCATCGGCTAGTTCAGCAAATCATACCGGAGAACATTTCACATGTACCGGTACATGTAACATATCAATATTCCTGGTCGGGGAGCTGGAAAGAAACTGTATTTCCACTGATCGTGGTTCTTGCCTGATCAGTATGCGATGATACGATGTTGCGCCTGAAAGTGAAATGATCTGGAGCTCATTCATCACGAGCCATCACTGTACTGCTAGTTATAGCAGCCACAGGTGCAAACCTGGGCACAGAACCACATGATCAAGGGTGTCGAAAAGTGACGGTGGATTCTGAGCTGCAAATTGTGTCACGGCGTACATATAGAGCAGCACGCTTTGCACCACACCAATGCAAAGGGCACCGCCGGTATCTCCACACGGTCCGATGTGGTGTAGAGCCATGTGATTCACAATGGTTCACTATCTACCACCATACCAATGCAAGGGCCACCGTAGTATCTCTCAACGGTCTACGTTGGGTAGAGACCAATGCGGCGGGTCACAGTGGTTCACTATCTACAGAATGGGTTCTATTATGGTAGGTCTAGCGTCCTGCATGAAGCTGACTCATGTCACGACAGAACTTAGCGAGATGATGCCGCAGAGAAAAGGCATGCCGTATACCAAACCGCTTATAGCTGGCACGTGTAAAGCTACAAGAGCCGGGGAAAGCGCTGGGTTAGCCATGTACTTCAAATGATGCCTTGATGCGCCAGCAGGCCGATGATCGGCAGGCAAGCTGCAATGACAAGACCGGCTGGTCGTGGTGCCAACACACCCAGCCTGAACAGCACCGTGGGCACGGCGAAGACCAGCGTCACTCCGGCCGCTACTCTCCGAGCATGTGCACTGTTAGCAAGTGCTCCACTCCCTGCAGATAACACATACACATTATACAGTCAGGATCGGCTATAGACTCTATAGAGAGCCCTGGTTCAAGAATACATCGGCTAAAGTGATATCAGAACAAAAATTCAACTCGGATGGTGAGCCAATTTAGATTATGGTGAAAAAGGAGAAGGACACAATGTTACGAGTTATGACTAACTGTCCACCAACGTAACCAGATCTTATACAGTCAGCGAGTGCTTGTCAGTTTTGTGCCATTTTGTCGCACTCGCTGATTGTATAAGATCTGGTTACGTTGGTGGACAGTTAGTCATAACTCGTAACATAGTGTCCTCCTTTTTCACCAGAAAAAATATTACTTGTGTTAAAATATGAAAAGCAACATGCATTTTCCGGCAGTCAAGATATCTCTGAAAAGATATCACCGCTATAACCAATAATAGTGCAGCGGGGTGTACCACATGCCTGGCAGCACTACTTTTTTAAAGCCAAGTTTGACATAATCACACACACAGCACTAATGGCAGTTATTTACTACAAACAAAAGAGAAAAAAGTACAAACCTGAGGTTGACTTGTCTGGGTGCACTCCTGCCATTGTTACAGGCAATGCTACCTTGAACTGCAAGAAGACGGGCTGCAAACAAGCAAGCGAGCAAGCAATGCACACCGGTGCCATATCATCATCCCAATCTAGAATTATTCTAACGTGTTCATGTATCCCTCCAGTCCTACTAAGACATTTCTGATAAAGTGGGGTTACGCAACTTGAGAAAGCACATTTTACCGTATCAATCCATACCCCATACCAACCAATTATTTGCCCAAGATTACCTGGCCACGAAAGAATAAGCATGATTGTGCAAAGTCTGATATTTACACGTAGGAAGTGAGACATCGTAGTTCAGTGTACGCCACTGCCGCTGAACTGCAAGTGCTTCATCGCCACTCACCTTATGATCCCCCATGCAGCAGTTATTGCCGACCATGTGATACGTAATGGACGAAGGACAAGCCTGCAAAGAGCAAATGATTGCAGATCATGCAGGTACTAACTGAACATGCGGAGACAGTCACTTACTCTATTACATGCAGCGGACACGTCGCAGGAGGGTTACCATGACTACGGGCTCATTCAAAGGAACTCAGTGGCGCAAATACATTATTAATTTTATGATTCTACCATCAGGGAGGTTACCATAGTATGCGGCATATGCAATTAATGCAACCCTGGGCGGGGGGCATGTAACAGAAGAGCAAGGATTTGTATAACACACTCATACAGCGTTTATCCGGGCGGTCCGGGACCGAGCACTGCCCGTAACTCCGAATCACATACAGTTTGATAGGGAAAGGCCATAGATACGGCATATGGCGTCACTATTTCCACAAAATGTGACAAAGGACGGTAGTAATATTTCCACGGAAACTCGCCCAAAGGGAGGGTGCCTGGTAGACCGACGTGCCCGTAACTTCGGAGTCCAGGTAACCGAGGTGTGAGTGTACGAAGGGTGCTGAAAAAGTTTCCGACATGAGTCACATGACACATGGTACGTTCGTTCAGAGACACCAGCATGTGGTATGAGTCAGCTACTAATGTGCCAGAAATCAACATACAATGCAGCACAATTGCAAACCTTGTCCAAGACGTCCTTTGCAGCATCATTGTAGAGCACACGGTCACACCAAGCTGGGCACCTGGCAAGCAAAAAAGCGAGAAAGTTTGCCATAGAGCAGCTACATCCGGTATTCTAACGCACCACCATACCAGCGGCCATCTGCTACCTTCAGTGGTCTGGCACTGGAGCACCAAATCCATGCACATGTACCAATAGAGAGGTTTCGCTTCACGTTGTTCTGCACTACACCGTGTGAGTTTCACGTCGGTGTGGCAAATTTTGGCGTCGAAACTCCCATTCATGACGTGAGCTGAGGTCAACTCACGTTCAATGTGAACGCGAGTTTTGCAAATTTAGCCTTGCTATCAGGTTGGGATTATTGACTCGATTTTGTCGATTTTGCCTAAACTAGCTATAAATAATATTTGTGCGACTTTGGCCTCGACAGAAAATCACTTTTTCACTTTTTTGAAGTTTTCGCTCCCAGTTTTCACTCCTGCCGTCAGCGAAACGACGTGCTTCACAAGCAACGTGAAGCGAAAGCTCTTTCTGAGCTCGCGTCAACGCAAAAAATTGACGTTCACGTAAGAGCACAAATCACGCGGGTCGAAACGTCTCTAATATCAGCTTTCTCAAAGCCGGCGGCGAACAACCTCGGCCACTAAACAATTACAGAAAGAGGAGAGACTTGAAGAGAAAGAGAGAGAAGTTGTGCACATCAGTGCTCATGACTAATCAAAGAAGACCATGCCTACCAGAATCCCTTGCTGCATCGTTCACACAATGAGCCAGATCTACGGAGATCCCAGGCTGTGCCCGGGTCCCTGTCACAGAGCCTCACGTGTACTGACCTTGTTTCCATGTACTGCCGAGCCTCACCACTTTCAGACAATGGATAGCTGTACAGGAGACGAATAAAGAACACACCAGCACGTGACACAGGACTGGACTGCCTCCTTCAACCAGCCCTTGCTCTGCTTTAAAAGCATGAAGTGAAGCTCTACTCACCAGTGTTGGAGTCTCAAAGGTCTCAACGTGTTCGGATTCAGGCACAGTACACAGTATACAGTATACACGTCAGCAGAAGCCCGTGCCACCGGCCTTTTATTTCTTCCTTATCTTTCCTTCCACACACTGGAGAGCCCCTTGATAGGTTCCCGCAGCCTTGGGTCAATTCTTAAATTAAACTTGTGACAAAACAATGGTGTAATGTAGCTTGAAAGCGTATTGCAGCAAGGCAATGCATGTCACCATGTACACCGGCAATGCTTAGCCCAGACTGAGGAAAAGAAAGCACTCACCTTGGCTGGAAGTCGATGCCTTGTTCGTGCACTCCTATTTTCACGGCTTCTTTGTCATAGGAACGCAGCTATAAGAAACCATAGGTAGAACCGGAATTGTCAGTCAGCTGAGAAATCAGTGTTAAATGCCACTGTATAATGGCAATCCTGTGTGCATGAGAAAATAGGAACAAGGTCCTACACGAGCATACATACCTCAGACAAAAAAACTAGTTTTAAGTGGTCGTGTAAAAGGACATGCTGTTGTCATGCATGGTGATAGTCAGAGAGCGATCCACCAGAAACTAGTTATGTAATGAGTAGTGGCACTTGCCGCATGATCTGGCAGCCACACAGACAGACACAGACAGACACAGACAGACACACAGACACACACACACACACACACACACACACGCACAGACAGTGCCCTTACCAACTTGAAACAATTGCTAGTACATGCACCTGCCTTCAAGTTGATCAAGAAGACCAGAAGGGTGAGCACAAACACGATGCACCAGGCATTATGCCGAACATCTTGAGATAGGTTGCGTGATGTTCAGCATACAGTATTAGTATTTCCAAATAACGGCTACACTCACAGTGCCAAACACACTCACAGTGCCAAACACACTCACAGTGCCAAAGTTCTCCTCAAACATGGCCTTGTCAGCTACTCGGAAGACCTTAGGAGCCATTTGCAGTACAACCTGCACCGTGGCAGCAAACACAGGAAACACACTGAGGAAACTTGGTGATCAGGGAGCTGGGGTTGTGCCACTCTGAATACGGTACAACCTGGCCAATGATGATAGTAAAATAATGATGATAAAGAGGACCCACCAAATTGGCTATGTCTCCGGCAGCACACAATTAACAGGTTATTGACTCCGGCATCACGGGCCAATCCGGAGGACTACTAATATCCACATACCTGCAGGCCTGAGCTGTTGTGCAGTTCAAACAGAGTGTTTTCAATCGAGCGGGGTGCCTACGCAGTGATTATGACCTGCACCTGTACCGGCCGTGGGTACAGTGTGAGTTACTGAGAACCGTCAGAACAGCTATGCACATCAGCCTCCCGGGTATACTCGTTGATCATAATCCATGACTGCGGCATCTCAGTAGAGCCAGGCCAGGCAGGTTGAGAGTGGAACCTCATCATGTGGCATACCAGCCGGCCTGCCGGTACACTATACATGCATTCCAAATGTGGCACAATTACCAGTAACTCAGTAAGTGCCGCATGTCATGGGGTTACTGTACTTGCTGTCTACGAGTATACTGTGCATTTCCGCATTTAAGTTTCTCACTTTGCTGCCCGCATGAAACCTACCTCTCCAGATGAGGAATCCGAGTAGATGACTTGCTCTCCTTCCAGGTGGCGGTGCAGTTGCCTATTCGTTGACGAGCACATGTCCTACACACCCAAGCACGATATTTCAAAGAATTCCGAAACACACTAGACCTCAGTTTTCCCTTTCTATTCCCTCAATCTTATGAACACTAGAACCTACGAAATTTTTTCGGACATCCGAGAGATGAATTTGTTCCATCTTTCCATCACACTGCGTTATCTACAGCATATCACGAACTCCTTTTAGACACAGGTAGGCGCATCACTATTCAGGGGATCCACAGGTGTTAAGCCTTTCAAATCAAGGGGTGATCCAAGGGGGGGGGGGGGGTGATTCAAATCAAGCCTTTGGGGTGAAGAAACAATTGTAGAGCACAATTCTGCATGAGCTATTGCACTCTGTGTGGAGGCAATCGGCACTGAATGGCTCTGGCATGCTATTTGCACATGCCTATTACAGCACTTGATGTCGACTTTGACTTACAAAGACCAGTTGGTGGAGGTCCAAGCGGAAGTTGAAATCACCGAAGAAAAACGTAGGTTCCAGATTGGATGAATGCCGTTGGAATCTACAATTGTAGGACGGAGGAAATTCATGAAAGAAGCCTGTAAATATTATAAACCGGTGCGCGTAATAAAACTGCAAAATCATTACCGACATCATGTCAAGTCTCGGAACTGCAGCGGTGGCAACCGTGGCCTAATTTTCATACTCGAGTGCAGCACTGATTCTAGCAGTCTCTACTTGGTAGTGTGCGAGTACACGCTCGTGCTAGGTTTTTGCAATGCGAGTGCACTGCCGGGCTGGGGTTGGATTTCAGTTGCTAGCTGACTGTACTAGTATTATCACTTGTGGCAAACAGTTCAGCCCAAGGACGAAGGGCACTGCGGCATAGCCATCTGCTGGGTACCGGTTAGCCAAAGCTTGCACTCACCTTTGAAGAGCGTACAGCATTGCCTTATGGCGGTTGTTTGCGTAGACAGATGGTGACTGAGCAAAAGTACAAAGGCGGCATAGTATTCCACCAAGCGACTAATCAGCAAGACAGTGCACATGTTTTCAACAGCCAGGCAATGGATGATTCGTTAGCCGGGAGTACATACAAGGGCGCCGTAACTAGGGAGGTGTACTAAATCCGTGCAATGCAACCACAAGGGTCGTCTGAGAGTGGAAAACAAAAAAGGTGAGTAAAAGGTATGTGCTGCTGGCTGGCGTATGGCAGAGTAGACATAGGTAGATACACAGCCGAGTCAATGTTGTTCACTGCACGCTTTTCAGTCACGAGTCCATGCGGGATTTCAAAACAGAAACCGTCAGTCAGAGACAGGGGTGTTGGGAACGACTCAACAGTACCAAAGAGACTCACTGCATACAATGATCAAATACACGGATGCAGGAAACCAGTGCTGCTAAGTTGGTAATACTTGGTACTAATAGCAGCAGTACTCGTAAAACATATGTATCACACTCACTGATTCCATGGAAACTAAATTGCTCGGATCATGGTAGAGATGGACATTTAAAAAATTGAAAACCCTGGAGGCGGCAGGAAAAGAGAATGAAGAAGCAGAGTTGGAGAGTGTTACTATGGTGTTGGAGAGTGTTACTGCAATGCAGAGTTGGAGAGTGTTACTGCAATGCAGAGTTGGAGAGTGTTACTGCAATGCAGAGTTGGAGAGTGTTACTATGGTGTTGGAGAGTGTTACTGCAATGGTGCAACTGTAGTGACTGTAGTTGTGTGGTTGCTACTAATTCAGCTTTGTTTGCCATGCTGTGCCGCATACGCTGGAACTGTGCGAGTGTAGGACATAGCACTACATGTCACTTAGTACTTGGAATGTGACATTGCTCATGCCATGGGAGCAAGAATCTTTTCCGAGCACTATACCATGTCAACAACACCCCTGTTAGGTATACACTGTTTTCCATGTCAACAACACCCCTGTTAGGTATACACTGTTTTCCCCCGATTATTAGCTACATCTAACCCGTAAGCGGCACCTACATTTCAGGTACTGTATCCATTGTATGGTTTCAAACGGTTGGCCTTGGCTTGGGGTTTGTTGAAAACAAAGGTGTGACTTATAGAAAAAAGGTTGCTGCTCCTAGCGTTGGAGTTCATTCTTCCTGCCAACTGACAAACACAGGCGCAAGCTCAAATGTTAGGAGCAGCCACTTTCTTCTGCAACTACCGCCGAAGTTAAGTTGCAGCATCTCAGTTCAAGCCGGCGTGACTTTTGTTCGGAGAAATACGGTACTGCTATGCCAATCATACCGGCACACGGCAAGAAGCACAGTACTACAATACGCGTAGATGTACTGCCGGTCTCAACTCTTACTGTTCATTGATGCACCAGCGAGTGAGGATGTAGCCCTTGCGAGTGAGCCGGTGCTACAGCAGAACACAACCAACCGATACCAGCGAGCAATTCACCTGACTGACAGAGATTCACATAATTATTGGCAATATCGCCAGGCAGAGGTTCCACGACATTAGTTTAGACTGGTCATCGATGGCAGCAGCTCCCCACAACAACCTCAGCTAATATTGTTAATTCAGGATTGGATGTTTCCATGGACACCTAGTGTTCATATTCTATGGTCAAGTTCAGACGAGGTTACCAGTATATAACTCTGGAAACGGTTCTCTGGGAACGGTTCTCGCCTACGATCAGATACAGTTTACATGGGAGAATGAGAGCCCCCCCCCCCCCCCCCCATCCACCTTCCATTCCCGTTATTGGATTGACCAAACTTACTGGTGAAAACTCCGACGGAAACTTCTCCTTGATATGGTACGAATTCCTGATAAGGTCTTCCGTAACCACCTGGACAGAACGGCAGGAACAGAAATCGCATTTGCAAAGTGAGTGAGTAAACGAGTGAAAAAAGAGAGAGAGAGAGAGAGAGAGAGAGAGAGAGAGAGAGAGAAAATGAGTGAGCGAGTGAATGTCTTGGTGAGAGAAAGAGGAGGAGAAGGAGGAGGAGGAGGAGGAGGAGGAGGAGGAAGGAGGAAGGAGGAGGAGGAAGGAGGAGGAGGAAGGAGGAAGGAGGAGGAGGAAGGATGAGGAGGAGGAGGAGGAGGAAGGAGGAGGAGGAGGAAGGAGGACGAAGGAGGAGGAGGAGGAGGAGGAGGAGGAGGAGGAGGAAGGAGTTATTGAACCCATGTCCTCCAATATCAGTTTATACACAAACCTATGTATACATGTAGGTGACCTGATCTTACCTCGTGCCCGGCCACTGGATGAAAGCGCTGTCCTGACAAGGGGAGAAGGGGAGAAGACAAACCATTAGGGCAGCTGGTAAGAGAATCACCTTCAGTCAAACACTCACATACATGTACATGTACTGTACCAGCTGTTGGAGTCAACAGCAACTCATGATCCATGTCCTTGGATGCTGATCTTCGACAGTAAGGGGGTCGTCGCAAAAGTTTTTTTGTCCCTGAAACGAACATCGTTCATTTCGTACTCGGACCCCCCCCCCCTCCCTCTAAAATGACCGCAGCTTGCTATGCTGGACGTCGACAATCGCATGCATGTACAATGGCACGTATTCACTGAAGGCGCACGTGACTAGCGCTGCGGGGAAACAAGTAGGTTTTCTCATTTGCGTACATAGTAAATTCGCACTTTACTCTTGACTTGTTGAGCCGTTTCGAACGTTGTATTCCGCAAATTCCACTTCGTTGGGTCACTACTATTGTATACCTTGAAGACCAGTAGTCTATATTGAAAGAAACTCACAAGTTCCAGCGATAAGCGAAACTTCTTTTCCACGCATTTGTATACATTTGTATGCGGAATTGAACAAGTGTCCCCACAGCGTGGCTCACGTGCGCCCATACCATGTATGCAGCGTGGGCGTCCGCCATTTTAGATGAATATGTGCCATTGTACATGCATATGTATAGTGTCGGTCGACTTGAAATTTTGGCTCGCACCCCTCCCCCCCCCCCCCCCCCCAATGAATGATATCATTTCAGGGACGACACAAAAGTTTTGCGATGACCCTATTAAATGCTACCGCATATGCCACACTAAAATATACTGGAAATTAAAAATTTAAAACTCTCAGCCCAATGAAATGCGTACTGGCAAGGGTCCATGATCCCCCAGAGTGCGCAACTTCACTTATAAGATCTGGGACGGCGATATCCGTTTTGCACGTCATAGTATGACATCATGAGTAGGGGAAGTGTGGACCATGGTGGACTGCGTCGGAGTTATGACGCAAGTCCGACCCTAAAAATGACGTACATCACGGATAACGCCGTCCCACACTGTGACCCCATCCCGTTCATGCACTCTGGGTCTGGGGGATTGTGGACTCTTGATACTGAGTAGTGCGTACTAGTACTAGCGATTGATCTTCGGGTACAGTGGAACATTTCATGTAAATCATCAATACAATACATGTGCTTCAAGCATGCAAGGCCATTTGGTGCCCAGCGCTCAGTGCATGACTCACGAGAACGAATTTCATTGACAACCGATATCATGTTTAACGTGTAAGCCCAACTTACTTGGGGGGCATACACTGTGACCTTTCCCTTTAATGAATTGCAAGAACATGCTACCAATGTACAAGTACCTGTGAAGTCCCATATCGCCACGTCATGAAGAGTGTCACGAGCTAAGTATATGCTGCCCAGTGCCTACAGCATCACACCACAAGCACCATCCCGGTACACAAAATGCACACCGACACAGACACAGACACACACACACACACACACACACACACACACACACACGCGCGAACGCACCCGACATCACACCCACAAACACAACAAATACACATCGGCTCCTACACACACACTTAAGCCGCGAATGATTAGTGCAGCTATTCATGCAAGGAAGCCAATCACTTCTCATAACCTTTGACTTCCCTTTGATGGACAAGAAAATAACAATCACCGTGAGAGCTCTTGTGCTGGGATTGCACCATTCAACAGCTTGCAAGGCTGGCAGTACTTGCCGGAGTGTGTGGTGTGATGTGTGTGCGGGGAAAACAAATGAGAAAGACCCCAAAAATAGGGATTCACTGGCAAGAAAAAGCCACTTCATAGCTGTGTGGTGTCGACCAGGCTGAACAGTGGCGGTCAATTCTTCAGCCTCACAAGCTGTTGAATGATGCAATACCAGCACAAGCTGCTATGGCTTCTGCTGTAGCATCGCTATCATCACCTCCAGCGATGGGCGTCAAATGGTCAATGGATGGTTAAAATGGGAATCAAACCCGCAACCTCTCGATTGGAAATCTCTGCACATACCACTGCACCACATGGGACACACACACACACACACACACACACACACACACACACACACACAATATCCATACGTACACAAACAATATCTGTGCGTGCACAAAACAAACGCCCCCCCCCCCCCCCCCCCCTGCATATATACACAAACACTCTCCGCATGTACGCAAGCAAACGATAAGAGATAGGAGCTCAGCTGCGCTTCACACATAGTACTCAATAAGTGGTTTAAAACTGACTGTGAAGCGTTCTGGGCACTGGTACTCCTCATCCATGAAACCACGCACACGGGTGAAGCATCCCAGCTCTTTGCACTTCAGTAATGACCTAAACACAGAATGCACAGATGTAGACATGATCGTATTGTATTTCGAAGATTGATCAATATGATCGACAAGGAAAGGAACTGCAACAACATGTAGCTACCTTTTCAAGTCTACCCATCCAAGTCTACCCAAGCAGGCTGGTGAAATGTTGAAGTAGCACATGTTCTACGATATTGACTTTCATAACTGATATCCAATGTTAACTATTCAGTATACTACAGTCAGACCTCGTTTATCCGGATCCCTCGCCATCTGGAAGAAAATCGCTGGTTACCGATGTGCAGCATATGTCATGCATACAACATTACCGGACCTCGCGATCCGCATACCGGTGCATGATGTTGTGTACAAACTGGTTAAAATGTGTGCAAAATGCTTCGTCGTATCCGGTTGCATGTGGCTGGCTAGCGCTTGCAGAAGCTAGTATCAGGGAGTTGTACAAGCAAATGAGGTCCTTGACCTGCTGGGTGTATGCGGACAGCACTCAGTTGCATGCACTTGTCATTTTCCTCACTTGTTTTACATACTGGGCACGCTAGTTGTACTGCATAGGACCTGTCTACATGTATGTACGACGTCACTGCTTTTGACATGCCACATGCATATACATGCATATACAGTATGTGTGTTCAGTTATCCGGTTACCTCGGCTATCCAGATATTTTTGTGGAAAACAGATGTGTGCGGTTAAGCGAGGTCTGACTGTATAGCATTCTCTCCCCCCCCCCCCCCCCCCTGTCTCCCTCTCCCCCCCCCCCCTCTCTCTATCTATCTCTCCGGCTCCTTGTCCGGTTAGATATTTCCCAACTTCCCCGGGAATGACTAGCGGTATGGTTGCTCTGATGTACTGGCAGATACTTACTCAACAAAGTGTGCCACCACCTTTGTTGCCTCGATGGGGAACTTTCCGCCAACCTCCTGACAATGGAGTGCAATGAAGTCGGGCTGCTGTTCCGTTACGAACTGACCCGATGATGACAAGATGTTCAAACACAAGCAGAAACCATGGACACACGCAAGCTGTGAGCATGACAGCTAGACATTATGATCACGCTGAAATTGTGCTAAGCCGCCTCGGTGCGTGCATTACTACACATGCGTGTTGCACAGCCAGTCGGGTAGTACACCCCTTAGAACTGATCTAGGCAACTGAAGATAATCCACCGGATGATTACAGTAGATATTAGGGCATCGCACTATGCCATGCCCTGTTCACTACCAAAAGCATGGTTGGTTGAGTGAAACGTCACAGGTCTAGCCAAAGCTGGACCAGCCAGATCGGCTGCTAGCATGCCCCTTATGCGGCCCAAGTTAATGAAGGTCACAACGTGTCACCGGCATGGTGTGTTCCTACTGAGCTGTCTCTAAGATGCACAACTTGAACTTGCTTTAGATATAGGTTGGAAGAGTGAGTACATGTGCAGGGAAGTCCCCGTCCTCTTTGCAATCAATATTGGCAAGCGCTGCACAAACAGAGTGCAATGCGTACATCACACATCGTGCCCGGCCCGTAGATATAGCTGGTCCCAGAGACCATGACTGCGGGTGTTTAGACCGGCGTCACCAGCAGAGCCAGTTGCGGTGAGTCAAGTCCTGATCACGGCATCTGCACAAACAAACATCTGCAGACACAAGCGCACTGCGCATGCCCGTGCAACCCACACGGCCTGACGGAGATTTCAAGCTTACATGGCAGAACTGTGCAGTCCACTCCGGCAGTATCTTGGTGCTCTGAGCATAGAGAAACCAAACAAAGTACATGTATGTCAAGTCCGCTGGCTGGGCATCGCCGGTGAATCACAGATAAGACAAGTTAACTGCACACATACGTCAAGCCAAAGATCACACCTCTCCACCTCTTCATCGGACCACGCCGGGGGGGGGGGGGGGGGGGGAGAGAGAGAACTGGCATTTTTCTGAACCTGAGACCGCACTTCGTTTTCCGGGAAATGGTCGTCCTTCATGCAGCCCTGCACATGTCAGAGCCCTTGCAAATCGAGTGTTGACTGAGTGCTGAGGTGATGTTGACCGGTCAGCCAGTTTCAGTCACGGTCTTATAGCCAGGTCTGTTGATGGCAAGTGCTCGGCTCTCTGGCGGGACTGCTACTCCAGGCAACCACTGAGGACTGGGATATGCCATGTGCAAAGACACGTCACGTGTTAAGCTCACGTCCACAATGATCCCCGGCTAGCAGTCCTAGTCCAAGCGGCTCGGGTTGGTTTCATAAGTGTAGTATGGTCACTGTAGGCTGGGACAGGATAACAACGGCCTCATAGCTACTCAGTGGCACACAACCCTGCATGATCCCCAGTGACAAGTGTGCGTTCACTGCTACTACGGGACCGTGACTGGGGAGAGAGATGTAAAAGGGGGTACTACAGTACAGTGCTGCTCACTGAAATCCAGTCGTGAAACCCAGTCGTGTCACTGAAATCCAGTCGTGTCACTGAAATCCAGTCGTGTCACTGAAATCCAGTCGTGTCACTGAAATCCAGTCGTGTCACTGAAATCCAGTCGCGTCACTGAAATCCAGTCGCGTCACTGAAATCCAGTCGCGTCACTGAAATCCAGTCGCGTCACTGAAATCCAGTCGCGTCACTGAAATCCAGTCGTGTCACTGAAATCCAGTCGTGTCACTGAAATCCAGTCGTGTCACTGAAATCCAGTCGTGTCACTGAAATCCAGTCGCGTCACTGAAATCCAGTCGTGTCACTGAAATCCAGTCGTGTCACTGAAGTTTGCGCCTTGCACCATTTCACAGCCCAGTGTTCGCAGGTCTAGGGCTGTGCAACGCCCGGCGCGTACTTGAGTGACGCGATTGGATTTCATTGGGCAGCACCGTAGTATGTGGCGTTGTCTTGGTGCTGCGTGAACATCGTTTCTTTCCTTTTCTTTGTGGACTCTTGCTGGAGCTTGGGTTCTGCTGCCCGTGCAGAGTAACTCAGTTACTGTCCATAGTGTGCCCTACATCTATTATGATATCATCCAATGTACGCAGTCAATACACGGTACCAAGCCAACTGTTACTAGTTATACTTACTCTCTACTGAGCCTATGGATCCGGACTTTGAGACTTCGAGAATTGAGAATTTTTAGAAAGAGAAGAGCATTTCAATTTTGGCGGATATAGCAGTTTGATTGAGTCGAAAGCCTGAGATTGTCATTTCCGGTGCTCTTCTCTCGTGCCATATAGGCCATCTCTTGGGGCACATGACTCATTTTGCAACTCGAACAAGCGGTTCCCAGATTCACCCAATTCCAATGCTGTTGGATGAATCGATCCTTGTACGTGTGGTTGTGATAGAGAGGTCTACCCAAGTTTCTCTTTCCACCTAATTATGTCGACAGTCTTTCGCGATAGACGTACCGCACTCGACTCAACTGTCAACAAACACTGAAACCGATGAGAGTGTGGGTGTGCAATCTAATCGTTCTCACTCAAGTCGACACCGATTTGATCATTTCCTCTCACCTTTTCGAACATAGAACCAACATTGGCCGTGACGAGCAGGACGGACACGTCTCGCCTCTTGCTGCTCTCCCCGCAAGCGAAGCCAGTGCGAAGCTGCATATCCGCTATCTCGGGATCACGTAGATCTACGCCACTAGCGTCGGGCGGAGCAGTATCACTAACTGCAGCACTTGTAGCCATGATCCTAGATATTGGACAGGCTGAAGTGAAGACTGGTCGTGCAATGTTAGCGCTAGTCCAGTGATCTGTCCGACTAGAGTATAGGATAGCCTACTGGCGAGGTGTTGAGGCACGTCTTGAGACCAGTGCAGTGGCAAGCTAGCTCTGCCTCTGGACCTGGACTGGAGTCTTGGAAGGATTTCTGAAAGGATGCACGGGATCAACCAAAATACGATCATGTACTGTAGCAAGAGTATTATCATCGGCCTTCCGCTAGCGCGCTGCTGTGCTGCTAGCATGCTGCATGGCCCGCTTGATCGGTTGATTTGAGAAGTGACAGTTACAGTAACATTGAAAGTGTGTCTGTTTCAAACTTACTTTCCGTACACTGACTGGTCAGTGGTCACGATTGTTATGTAGGCCGATCGCATGCGGTGCACAGCAGGCCAGGGTGCACTGTGCAAATGTGGCATGTTGTTATGTGGAACAAATCACTGCCGCTGGCAGTATGATTGTATCTGTTCGACAGTTCGCTGAAAATGATGAAGTCGCTACAGTGGAGATCAACGCAAAGTCGTTGATTTCAGCGCTCTGAAGTAGATCTGCACCAGTCTCTTCAGATCTGTTCTGTACGAGTATTCGCAGTGGTAATTATTACTTCTACCATACAAGAGAGTTTATCTACATGTACTCTTGTTTCTACTGTTCTACTAAAATAATGTCATTGCAGTCTTCTGCCAGATCTGGGGAAAGCAGGCTGTCCCCAGCCCTTTTGAGGCTTTTTCCCGAACAGACGCTAGCAAGTGTATGTAAAAACAGCTCAGTGTCGTTGCTTGACATGATATCACCGACGCGACCGGATGTTTGGTACCTCCGCTCTCTTGACAACCGCATTACCAGTACAGGTGCTGACTACGTACACGTCACGTGCGTAGTGCAAGGCCATGTATATGTATGTACCATGACCATGATGACATACAACTACTATAAAAATAATGATGACATACAACTATAAATAATAAGGACTTAGCCTAGCATCAGGCTCAAGTCAAGGCGTTTGATCGAGCGATTCGAGGCGACTTGTCTCGATCTTTGCAGTACATTGTAACCATGGTGACTGTATGCACCATGTAGATCTAACCCAGGCCCCCATCCCAGGCCAGAGCTAGAGACTCAGGCCAGGGAGTCGTACCGGAGGCGGAGAGAGGTATATTATGTATTACCCATATAAAAACCGCTCTGTGAGCGGTTCTGAAAAACCTCTACTGGTGCAGCCCCGTCGTAAAAGTAAGAAATTAGAACTGGCGCATTGTCCTCCCAAATGTGAACTGATCCACCTAAATCGCGATTGACGGGACCCGAACGCACCAGTAGCACGAGGTTCCTACCTGTGGATGCAGCTGGGGATGCTGGTCCATAGCCAAAGCCAAAGCGGCAAAGGTGGGCTTCGGGGTAGATCTAAGTGTTGTATGGTAACTTGACTGATCAGCGCCGGCTGTGATCCTGTGCCCTCCCGACCTCGTGCTACTGGTGCGTTCGGGTCCCGTCAATCGCGATTTAGGTGGATCAGTTCACATTTGGGAGGACAATGCGCCAGTTCTAATTTCTTACTTTTACGACGGGGCTGCACCAGTAGAGGTTTTTCAGAACCGCTCACAGAGCGGTTTTTATATGGGTAATTTCAGTTCTTTTTCTGTTCCCTCCCCCACCCTAGCCCAGCTCCGAAGATAAACATGGTGAGCACGCGCGCGATGCACTGTATGTAGCCATGCAACTACAGTAGCACACTGATACATTCCAGCCCTCCCCACCTCGCTACCCCGCACACAGACACCTTGTGACAAACACGCACATGCACATGGCACACACACACATGGGCACGCACACACATACATGTACATACACACACACACACGACCCAAACAGGAAATTCTTGATGAACATTGTATAATGCCATGCAAAGCAGTGGCCACCATACTTCAGGAAGTCAGTTGTGAAACAAAAATAATTCAACTACAATGTGTAGGTAAGCTAGCGGCCAAAGCACAATATTGCAAACCGTGATGATATTTGCCTAAGGATTGCAGTTTGCAGACCACACCATGGAAGCAGTGAATACAGAATTATTGTAATGTCATACAAAGGCAAGCAAAGAAGTGGCCACCATACACCAGAAACTTGCAGAAAGTCACATATCCAACAGATAGAGAAGTGAACAGCGTCTGGTACAGCCCACACAAAACCAAGCTGACCTGATACTCGTCCGAAGATCGTAAGTGGCAGATCCTTTTCAACGATAGCATGCAGGTGTACGTTACACGCATGGACAAAATCTGACCGTGTCACCGGCATACATTGTCATCACATGCATACCCCACAGGTTACACACATGCACAGTAGAAGCACAATAAAAGCAATGGAAAAATATGAAGGGGTTGCTGAAGCATCTTCACACTTCAATTTCAGACTTCGATGTGGTCGTCACGGGGTGATATACCTGCAAGATACAAGTGATACAGAAAGAAAGCATAAGGTCGTGAGGTAGGCTATGAGACACCACAAATGGGTCACCTACATGTATGTTCAAGGCTGGTGTACACACACACGCAGAATTATCGTAATCGAGAATTTCCCAAACTACAGAAGAGCAATGAAATCCATTTGCATGCACAGGAGCAATTTTGCAATATGATGAGCAGCTCGGGAATACACCTGTTGGCAATGGATTACATTCCCATTGGAATTCCCATTCACGTGGGATTCACAGAAGCAATTTGGCAGTGTGCTGTGCAATGCGACACGACCTGCGATTCTGCGTGCGATGCAAACTCGCACAAAATACCATTCACAGAATCAGGACAAGACGTCAGCGATGCACCAGCGCCTTGCTGACGTGCCTCAAGTCAAAGCTCAATGAGAATGCGTTTGTCGGTTACAACTGGTACAAATGTACAAGCAATTTCTGAAAATGCTCCTGTGAATCCTGCTTTAAGAAGTGCAGGAATGTCCCTCCTCCGCTCCCCCCCCCCCCCCCTCCACACCCTCAGGGAACTTGACAAGGAAGGGTGGTCTTCGCGGTTCCCAACATCTATTTGCAGTTTCTGGTCTCCACTATGTCTTTTCAATGGGGCTTTGATTTGTACGTACCATAAAAGCAAGCCTAAAAAATGAACAGCACATTTGCCGTTCCCCCACTGGGGAGGATGCGTTCCACAGCCATCCTGACAAGATATTCCGAGAAGCGGTGCTGAGTGCAATGCATTGTGAAACTGAAAAAGCTGACCAAGCCGCGGCATATAACGTCTAAACTTCAATTGTAGTTCGCCAGCTGACTACTTTCAAACTCCATGAAGGTTGGAGTACAGCTGGCTTAGAAGTTGACAACAACGGCGCACGCACATAAGCAATGGCCACCTTACCTGTACTGTAGCAGTACTTCCGAGTTCCCGTATGGGAGTTCCCTCACTGTGTGTGCAATAGCAGCCTCATCGGACCAGTTCAATGCGACGCGGACAGTCCGACACTGAGGAGGACATTGAAGAAGTCAGAGACAAGAAGAATGGTTGATTTACAATTCAACTAGCAAGGCTGCACACCCACGAAGTTCCACTCACCATTGTGCCGTCCTTCTTGGAATGCAGAAATAACGCTTCCTCTCGAGAACGCAGCCTGTGACAGAGAAAAAGGAAGGAGCATCGCCATCGGCATTGGTCCTCTGCTATCACCGATTGCCGAGTTGCACAGTTCACTCTAACAAGACTGAGGATGTTCAAGAACTCCCCATCCATACCATTATTGGAGTAAGAGGAAAGGTCAGATTGCCTAGTTCCTAGGGCCTAGCATTCCTGGATGCCAGGATGTGCTGCCCCCCCCCCCTCCCTTCTACTGCCTGGAAAGGGCAACATATGTGACAGCGTTCACCAGTACAGTCGGAGGAGAACATGGGAGAAGGCAAAAAAGGGCAACACACATGAATCCCTTATAAACAAGCAGTGGCAACTCTAGCACCAGCAATGTTGGACTTACATCCCAGCCATTGCCGCCGGATTCAGCGGCTTCTTCTTCTTCGTCTCCCATCTTGGAAGCACTCCTTCCCGTAAGTTCAGTCCTGGGATCGGGAGTACAGTCGGAGGAGGACGTCGGAAAAGGCAAAAAGGCAACACACATGATTCCCTTATAAGCAAGCAGTGGCAACTCTGGCACCAGCAATGTTGGACTTACATCCCAGCCATTGCCGCCGGATTCCCACGCTTCCCGTCTTCGTCGTCTTCCAGTTCCCAGGTTCCATCTTGCAAATACTCCTTCCCGTAAGTAAGTGCAGTCCTGGCCTGTGTGGATGCGCAGTACATTGACGATGCCGGAGATGGAGCAGGTCAGGGAGCCCTATCGGGGTCCCGAGAGCAGATTGTGGCCAAATTCGGGACGATGCCGGACGCCAGTCAGTATGAAGTAGCGAATTGCGGACCGCCACGTAGATTGGGGTCGCGGGGTCATAATCCATGGGCACTACTCGTACGTTGCTCCAAAAAAGGGCACTGCACTGTTCCACAGTTGCTGTTAGCGGTCGCCAAAGGCACTTGGTAGGCCGGTAATTGGGTCACGTGTCAACAAAGTGTCAGCAACGTGTCAACAACGTGTCGACCACGTGTCTTTAGCGGTACACTAATTTTGGTGTCCCCAAACTGAAAACATCGAGCACCAGTATGGAAAGGCTTTAGACAGAAAGCCTTTCCAATCAGATTGCAACGACCAGGACTGGCTCTTAGTAGTGGCTGCAAATGACCGATATCCGTCACTTGCAGCTGTGCATCAGAGACCTGTAGCTGGCCTGAAGAGTTGTAAAATTACTCCTTCGTAGCCGGGAGAGTCAGAGCGAGGGCGATTCACGGCTTGGTCAAAAAACTGTCGGCCTGGAACGTAAACGTGGATCTGCCGACACAGTTCACCTGGTTCACACGCCTGACCTGGCATGCTGCCTTGCGTGAAAGGAACATTTTTCCGAAAGCAAGCTTCTTCTCCAAAATTCGAAATTTCTTTCCAAAAATGCCGTCGTCCTTGACCTCGAAGCTGAATGTTGTTAGGACAGAAAATTAGCGAAGATGTAGCCGACCCATTCTGGCAAGCCGTGTGCCCTCTGGATATGCAGTTGTTCGCCATGGTCAACAATCTTCTTCTCCTTCGTTCGTACTTTCACTTTCCTGACCACGAATATAAGCGGTACCCATGCTCAGGTTAGTGTTTATTTGTCTGTCTATGCAAATACATGTAATACAATGTACTGTTCGTGCTGCAGGCACTGGCCGATCATGGAAATAGAGGAAGCAGCCAGCTTTCTTTGAATTCTCGTGCTTTCAACAAAAATATGTACACACTTTCCTTGGCACCTCTTTCCCACCGCCACCATGCATGCACAATCGAGCTTGCTTTAATGCCCTGCAGTGCAGAATGCTCCCACCACCGCAACTACCACCGCCGCCACCACTACCAGCAGCAGCAGCACCGTGACCACCACCACCACCACTGTGACCACCACCACCACCACTGTGACCACCACCACCACCACTGTGACCACCACCACCACCACCACCACACCACCACTGTGACCACCACCACCACCACACCGCCACCACTACCATCACCGTGACCACCATTATAGAAGCATTGTCGTGCACGGCACGTCTGCA